TACTTCATGTTTAATTATAGCCACAAAAAAAAAGTAGAAAAACACACATACATACACACAGAACATGTCCGATTCTTGCATCACGCCGAGTATTTAAAACCAATCAATTAACACAGGCCACTAGTGCAGAAATAGTTCTTCATGCTACCAGAAGGCAACCACTGTACTGGCTTCTATTTGTGATGCAGTGTACATGGGATGGTGGACTGAGTGGGAGGCAGGCAAACGAGAACTCAGTGGGAGGTGGGAGAAAAACAGAAAGTAGATGGGATGTGCCAAGAAGACAGCCTCTGCTGCATCCATCCAACTGTAACCAGCATCCAAAACTTACACATCGCAACGGTACCAGTTCAACTCAGAAGGCTCGGCTGCCATCTTTTACAATCTGAGCGCTGATCTCTACATCGCCGGTCGCTCCGTTCTTCATATTGCCACTGCATTTGTTGTGCAGGATTGACATTTGTAAGAAAATACGAAAGTTTTTGCTAAAAACTGTGACAGTGCCTCGAATGAAGGATCATAAAAAGCGATTCAGTGTTTTCTCTGATCCTGCCCCAGCAGGCACAGGGGCCCTCTTTCTCACAGGAAGTCCTGCTTGGAATCTTGTGATTTGACTCTTGTGTTTAAGGTTACGCATGCCTTGGTTGGTCACAACGAAGTGTGAAATTCTGTGATATTGTTAACTTGAACTAGGCCAGACATTCCTCCGCCTCCACTCAGACCCTGGCATTAAGCTCACCATCACACCGACTCACCATTCCCAAAAATGAGCGTAGGCTGCAGTTTGTAAGACATTTAACTACATAAACTGCGGTTAGTTATAAATACAAAGCTGGTATGAAACTTTAATGCTGTAAATCCCGTTGCCCTGTTAGGTCCTAGTTGATTTTGATGACCCCTGTGGTTAAAGTAGCAACAGCAGGTGGGGTTTAGTACCACAGTAAACACTTTACATTGTCAGAAATACAACAGAAGATCAACTGGTGCATCGGTTTGCAGAGCAGCTAGTAAAACTCATACTGTAATGACGCATGCGAAGCCGATTTGAAACTAGGCTCAGCTAATAATGATGGAAACTGTTTTGCATAAAGTTATTTAGAGAACATTGATTCATTAAATGACGATGCGGTCAATAAATAGCATCAAAAAGTGGATTTGAATTCATGCACATCTCAAGAATTTCAACTAACAGCATGTTTTGATCAATGGACTCAATGCAATAATTAATGAGTCTACAAAGAAAGTAAAAAAAAATTTTCCCAACTCAGTCACCCAGGATAGGAATATACGCATCTAACGTACAATGACAACACATCAGTACCATAAAGAACCCATCCCACATACCGGCACCACCCAAAGAAATTCCAGCACTTATGGGGAGCATTTTATTACAATTATGCTAAAGTATACCATCAACACTGCACATCAACATATGCAAAACAAGCTTGCTGATTCAAGACAGAAAACCTGAGATACACAATGTTGGGGTGAAGAAAGAGGGCAGTTAAGGAGGAGAACCGAGGCCCAACAAGGGGCCTCCAAACAGGCGCTAGTGGACCAAACACTTCAAAATAAGACTGCTACATTCTTAGGAATAAAAAAACATTCATCTTCAACTCCACATCAAGAGCAGCAACGTGACATGACTGATAAACTACAAATGTGATCATGCTTGCATGAGGTCATCACTCAGCCTTTTTTTTTTACCCTGCCAATAAATGCACAATACAATGATCATCCATAATTACATGCTCATGTGGGATCATTATCGCTCAAATCAACATAACTACACCAATAATTTTTGCCAATTTTGGCAGCCATCCACAGATCCTTAGTTACCAATCTGGCAACCGCTTCCAAACATTTGTTTCAAGCTCTAAGATCCATAAAAACAGAGAATTAATTCCAGGTGACCAGCTGGGAGCTGCTCTGGGAAACAAGGGAACTAGGCAGGGATCGTTTGCTGGGTGTTCGCAGCATTAAAAGCAGACAGATTAGGTTTATTTTAGAACGACTGTGGAACAAGCGACAAGGGATGCTGCTAGTCAGAAATTTTGCAAATAAGCTATGGCAGGTTTGACAAATGTAATTTAACCAAGCTTTCTTTGTAACAGCTTTCACTGTATTCCCTCTGCCTGCATTAAAAAGCCTCTTAATCATGCAGCTTTTTGCATAAAAAGGGCACACAGATCACAAGCCCGCTGTTTCTTTTCCTCTACAACAGCTCTTGCAGTCTCTCGTAGGAAATGTTAATAACCTGAATTGGACTTGCTAACTGAACCCCCATAACACCGATTGACCGAGATGATAATGACGCTTCCTGGATGTTCCTTTTTCTCCCTAACAGCAGAGCTACCTGGCTGAGCGTGGCAACCACAAACTGCTCGCTCCCCTTCCTGTGATCCACTGCATTACCACTGTGATTAAAGTGTCATTATAGGTTGCTCATTACTTCCTCTCTGTGGTCAGTGGTGACAGCAGAGGCCTGTTTTCATGCAGAACAAAGAGGCGGATCAATAAATTAGCCATGTGCAGCTGATGAGTAAGGCCCTACGAGATTGGCCTTGAAGGTCCAGCCAAGAGCACGTGGCCTTCGAAAGTAAGTCGCCCATGGGCGTAGGTATGCCAAGGGACTGTCACAATCAGTCAATTGTTTCCTTTATCATCCACCAAGAGAGCAATAGCCTCTGCTAAATCTATAAATTAAAGGCTAATTTTAGTTTCTCCTACTAGTCCTAGTTATGCTTTCAGTGAACAGGCAGTATGTGCAGCTCATTTCCTCAACAACTCCTCTGTGAGTCACGCCGCTTCTCCTTCAGCTCCCCTGATTTCAGCACCAAATAACTGAGCAGCTGCCCTGTAAAGAGTTGTATGAATTTGCTGATGACTCTGCTTTGAGAGCTACTAATAGCATAATGGATTCATAAACACGCTCTCCAAAAAGGGCAGCGCAGTTGCTAAGGTAATGAAAGCATTGTTGATTGCCGCTTTTATGTCAGGGAAGCCAGATAGAGTTTTGGTCAGTTTAATAAATGATCGGTGCCGTGGCTGCTGGCAGGGCCGCATACCAATCAGCAGCAGCAGCAGCAGCAAAGGCAGCAGCGGCTGATAGTAACTCAGAGGCTCAGGAAAATGACATTTTCACAGAGATGTAACAGAGGCATAGGCGATCAGCACGCAACAACACAGGCCTGGCTCATTAGACGGGAGCTGCCATTTTGAAAGGACAGATTTTAAACACGGGGCAACTTGAGGAGGTGCGATGACATTCTCTTGGCTGCTCCAATTTTCCACGCACCTTTATTAACTATAGATTTTTATTTGGATGAGGGAAAGTGGAGGTGGTGGTGGTGGGAGGGGAGGGGGACATATCTGATAGATGATACATAGAGGATGAGTAACAAAAAGCAAAAGGAGAACACTCGTTCCTGAAGCATTACACACACATCGGAGCCTGCAGCCTATAAGGTCATGTGTCTTTTTCTGACAAGCCAAGGTCTAGGCAGCCAGAGGAGGGGGGGAAGAGGAGTGTGTGTAAAGGGGTGAGGTGAGGGGAGGAGTGGGAAGGGGGGGGTTCAGGAGAGGATTTACTTTTGCCCATTAAACTGCCAGAGAAACTCACTTGCACATCAAACATTGCAGGCATCTCTTGCTCCACTGCTGTCACCCTTCCTCACCCACACACTCACCCATCCCTCCCCTATCATCTCATATGACCTGTCACGTCTGCTGCCTTCTAAGCAGCTCACAATCCACACACATACACACACAGGAGGCACCGGCTCACTAAAATTCATTGGCTGCTGATAGATCCACTCACTGCAACACTAGTAGCTATATTGATCCTTGCGCACAAACTTGGCGCGCACCCACACACACATAGGAGGTGATCGTCCAGCTCAAATAGGAAGGCACACATTTGAAGATATCACGAGATTTCCTGCAGTAATAATAACATGTGATCGGTATGTATACATGAGCAGAGGAGGGGGGGAGAAAAGGGAAGAATCTCATGAGCCTCGTCTGTCTATGAAGGGGTGTGGCAGCGGAGGCGATATGCAGCCAACCATCCTCACTGTTTTATTCTACATAACCTGCTGCAGTGGAGCCCATGCATTAACTCCACACTTTTCCATTTTTTCTTCCCACCACCACCACGCTGCTCCCATTATCACCTTGACCGTGATAAGCATGCCGGAGAATGGCAACCACATGCGCATAGGCGTGGGAAACACGTTGGATGAAAAAAAAAGGTGGAAATAACGCCCACGACTCCAAACATACATCCCTCCTTCTTTTTTTCTTCTTCTCCTCCTGCTACTGCTGCAAGCTACATGATGATCAGGAATCATTTTGTGCGGTGACATGCTTCACACAGGTTGCCGCCTTTCATGTTTCCCCTGGCAGCATTGTAAAAAGAGAAAAATCGGGAGGAGGGGGGAGAAAAAAAAAAGTTGGAAACAATCGCCTGTGGCATTTAGTGGCAGCTTGACTGACATGGAAACATGGCGGAGGCTGGTCGTCTCTGACCAGTGCGAATGTAACTTAGCAGCCCCCTCCGTGAACTCTGCATGCCTCCTTCCACTCTGCACACCCACCACAAAGCTACAGCCTCCACATGCCGAATCCTGCGCAAGGAGCTTTTGCGTAAAAACGCAACAACAAACAAACAAAAACTCACCCTTGCAGCAGCACTGTGGTCTGTACAGTCGCCAATAAAAAACAAATTTAAAAAATCGACAATTTAACACTCCACAAGTTGATTCAAATGAGCATCGCGGCAAACTTAACGCAGATCCATTCAAAAGAAGAAAAAAAAAAAAAGAAAAGCTCCTGAAACGCAGTGAGAGAGGCTCCCATCCAGAGGCAGGCTGGGACTCACGCTGCGCTCGTACACACACAGTTTGATTAGAAAGCCTGGTCAGAGAGAAGGTCAGACAGATCTGCTTGCGGGGGAGATGGGCACCACATTAAGCCGATTAGCGGGTTGTAAAACCTACCTTCAGGTCCTCTACTGGGGCATTTCAAAGCGAGGGCAGCCCTGAGAAGATGCACATTAGCCGACAGTCCCGCTCCTCGGATCGCAAATATCCTGCGCGTTGAGGGAAATTTCCAAGTGGCCGGACAGTGTGTGAGCAGCAGCAGCAGCGGCGGCGGCGGCGGCTTCACTATGTGTGTGTGTGTGTGTGTGTGTTTGCATGTGTGTGTGTGGTGGTGTGTGTAAATGGGGAGGGGGAGATAATCCTACGGTGGGGCAAAGAGGAAATGCGTCATTATTAATGGCCCGAACGTTTTGTAGTCCACGCGCTCACCGATGCGTCCCACGAGACTACAAAACGGCTGTGATGTCTATTGATGTATATACAGAGTTGTGGGATTTTTTTCCCCCCTTATTAACGGGTACCAGAAGTGTACAAGCAAATTAGCATCCAAAAAAAAAAGACAGAGAGAGAGAGAGCAAATTAGAATCCATGTGAAAGGCATACAAGCATCATCACCTGCTCAAATATTGAAGTCCTGTAAAGCTTCGTTTGTTTGTTTTACTGTAGTCTTGGTGATGAGGAAGACAAACCTGCCATCTTTATGTACAACTAACCTTAAACCACATTTCCCACGAGCATATTGTGTTCTCCAGGAGTTATACTAGTATATATTATAATATAATACAATATATACTAATGCAATACCATAGTGGTGAGAGACAGACTGATATCTTCCTCCTGACATGATCAGGACAGGTAAAAAATACTTGGATTATATAAAATATAAAACTGAATTATTATTCAATAATTGTTTATGGCTGTTGTTTCTCTCTCGTTAAAACATACAGACAGTCACAATGTAAAAAAACAACTTAAAGTGTAAGACTTGGATGGATGGGCAGATAGATTAGATAGATTAGATAGATAGATAGATAGATAGATAGATAGATAGATAGATAGATAGGTAGATAGATAGATAGATAGATAGATAGATAGATAGATAGATAGATAGATAGATAGGTAGATAGATAGATCATTTATTTGTTCCCATGGGGAAATTGGTTTGCCATTTCATAAGTGGCCAGATCAGCTGGAGATTATTTCCTGTCCATATTTTAAAATTTGATGGCTTGTGGCACAATAGGCAGTTTGGACATATACCACCAACATAGCTTCAGTTCATCTTAAAATTGATTCTCCAAGTCTAATGCCATTCTTGCAAAAAAGATTCCCTCATTTAATGGTGGTGGAGTGAAATCTAGAAAACGTTCGTTCAACATCTCATTAAGGTTGAGATCTGGTAACTGCAACAGGTATATGATTCACATCTTTTACCAAACCATTCAGTGAGCCCTCATGGTGTATGGATGGAGGTTTTGTCATCATTAAAGAGACTATCAGCATAGAAAAGTTTCATCATACTGGTCACAGACTACAGCTTTCTATTGATTTGCAGGGACTCTAAGGGGACAAGTCAAACCAAACCATGCCAGTAAAATGCTCCCCAAAGCATAACAGAACCACTGGATCCCCTGGATGGGTTAAAGGTTCTGGATTTTCCTTTAATTTGTCATCCATGTGCATTGCTGCTGGCAGTATGTTCACTGGAGGCTTCAGGTTTCCACATTACACCTGTGTGAGCTGGTTCCTGGTTTCCTAACTGGTTGTGATGAAAACTAGACAGATTCAGATGTCAAATTCTGCAATCATTTCTGCACAACGGAAACAAAACTTCAAGTCAAGGAACAATAAGAAAAATACAATTACAAATACAGGAGGAGGCTCAACAACTTTTAAGCCACAATATGAGTCAAGCTCCTGGATCCTATGCTTTTCATAATGCAGTTTTATTGCATCTCGGATTAGGCTCCTGCTGTCACACATTCTAAACATTTTTGTTTTGTTTTTCTGATATTCTTTATTATTTATTCTTTTCATATATCCCAGCTTGTTGGGGTCAGAGAACAGACACCACAGTGTCTCTGGAGCAGAGAGCGTTAAGAGACTTGCTCGAGGGTGCAACAGTAGCAGCTTGGTGGTGCCGGGGCTTCTTGCATACGCTATTTGAGCCCCTGATGACATAATGATCCTTATCAGCGTTTTCTTAAACATACTCAAGTTCCTCCACAGCCACAGAAGACATCAGAGTCTGCGTGGTATCACAATGAAGACTGACCCTGTAAAAGCTAAGATCCCCGGGTTAAGACAACCTAAGCTGTTTGGGAAGTGGGATCCAGCAGCTACCTGGAAGTGGAACAAATAAAAGACATTGGATTAGGAGTACGGAGTCATTTCAGAGTTTTGCAGGGGTCACTTAGGTTGAATCAGGACAAAAATATAAGTTGCGGGATTGGATGCAGTTGCTCCACATGCTATAATGGGACACTGGGTGCTTGTTGTTAGGGTACAGTTGGATGAAATGTGAGCCTAAGGGGAGCGTCGGGGGAGCTTAAAGATGTCGACCCCAGCTGGAGCAGGATAACTATGGCTAAATTCCAGACATTCTGATGGAAGCCCCTTGTTACCGTCAGAGCCGTTAACACCGTCTGTCCGTCTGCCTCACACTGAGGTCTGTCTGCTCCTATAATCTCTATACTTCCACAAGCACTCCAGCATAAATCACCAGGCGTGGAACAGCCATTTCAGAATAAGAGACTGTTCCCTGGGAGAAATTTCAACTTTGAAACATGCTGTCATCATTCACGAAATGACACCGACTGAACTAGTTTCCATAACATCAGGGTCACAGGACAAGTTATTACCTTTGAAATAAGATCTCAAAGATTTCCTTAACTCTGGCAGATTTTCATGTTGACACCTCTGCGGTTTGCTTTCAACAAGCGCCCGCAGGCATGGAAGAGGGAAAATAAACCCTTTCAAGTAGAGCAGACCTAACACACTGAGAGATGTCAGGTTTTGGCCCAGGTTCAACTCCACTGCTATCTGACTACTGTTTTCATTTGTTGATATGTATCTAAACTGCAAAACAAGGTGCTGGAATCGAAAACATACAAACTAAAAGGTGAACTTGTCCAGTATGCTTGTAACTGTGTCACCAGTTAACTGCAATGACCAGAAAGCACAAAAATATGTAACCATGTTTAGACTCAACGCTTCAGAGCATGTACATAAACTAAAATCAGATCAATGCTGCCACCTTGTGGATAAATACATGCAGTACACAACACAGGAAAACACAGCTTGAAGTTGTGGTGAGGAAAAAGAAAGGAATAGGCAAAGAAGTCCACAGAAAAATGTCAACATTAGAAGTATAAAACGTAAAAAGTAAAGTTTATAGAAGGTGGAATGTATTTTTCTTTTATGTTCAATTCAAAACGCTCTCAGCCGGTTTTTGTTTTGTTTTTTTTAAAACTTCTAATAGGCCTTTAAGGGGGTAATCTGTCCCATAAACAGCAATGAGTCTGTTACCTTATTTGACAGAAATCTACACCTTTGACTGTTGTTGACCAGGTCATACACAAAAATGTATATTAAGTCCATGAAACCTTATTTAACAAACCTGGTTATCTCTTCGATGTAGGTGATTTTCCTTTGGTGCTGGCTTAAAGCTCTGTGAGGAAGGGTTATGTATTATACATTATAACATTCTTCTCAAAGGATGCCATAAATAGGGACAACCAACCTTTGAAAATATTAGTGGTACCAAGACAGAAAAAAAGGTTTCTACATTATTCAAAGATTACACATTTCAAATCCAAACTCTTAAGTCTCAAAGCTGACATACTGCTTGATTACATCAGATGAAATAAAACAAAGCTAGAAGAAGCCTTTAGCTTTTACTATGATGTGAAAATACTTTACTACTAATACTGCATCAGTTTATTGAAAATAATACAGGAAATACATCCAAGTAAGCAGGTACTGAACAAAATCACCTGAACAAAAACAAACATTGTTTTCATCAGTATGTAAAGGCTTTAACAGCATTTTTATTTTTTATTTTTTAAATTACAGGAAAATTATGTTGCAACATAAAGCACATACTGGGCAATGTTTCATATTCTCATTAAACCTGTGCTTTACTTCAGGTTTTAATAAGTGTGAGAACTAAACATTTAACCAGAATTAAGTGATTCCAAATCACACTTCACCAAAACAATAGAGTTTTATTAATCTTTGTTAAGAAGATCTGAATGTGTGTCGGGTAAAAATTCCACATATTTATTAGACATTTACTCCAAAGGAAGAAGAAGCAAAACTGAGCAATTTTATTACTGATTCTTTCCAGAAAGTTCATTATGTGAAAGTCATGGAGGGCGAAGAAACATGAGTGGAGCCGTAACAGAATGCTGTATTCTGGTTTATTTATAACTGTTTTGAACAACATATTTTTAGATTTCAATTTAAATAACACCTTAGTACAAACACAAAAAATATTTATTCCTCTGCAATCGCTGCTTTGGGCTTTGGTTCATGTATTTCAGACTCCATGCCAGGCAAACTAGTTCTCCTACGTGCAGCAGTCTCAATCTTCTGCACCAGCTCCACATCCCATGGATGCGTGACGAAGCTGAGCACCTCCCCGTCCTCCGCCCCTCCTGCTCTCCCCACCCTCCCTGCTCGGTGGATGTAGTCCGTGTGGGATTCTGGGAAGTCATAGTTGACAACTAAGCACACTCTGGTTGTATCCAGGCCTCGTGAAGCAATGTCTGTGCATACCAACACATCTGCCGAGCCCTTCTGGAAGGAGTGGAAGATTCCTGCACGTACAGCAGCGGGCATCTCCCCTTGCAGACGTACATGCTGAACACCCATCTCTTCCAGTGAGTAGCCCAGCCAGTTGACAGTGGAAGACTTGTTGCAGAACACTAAAGCAGTGCCCCCTTTTTTGTCTTGCTGCATCTGCTTCAGGGCTTGATTGAGCTCCAGGATTTTGTCCGCACCCTTTACCTTTAGGAACGTCTGCTTCACATGGGGCATGAGGTAGTGCAGCATCTTGCTCTTGATAACCACCATTTTGCCAAGATCTGTTACCTGGCTGAGCACTTCTCCGACACCACCAGGGAAGGTTGCCCCCACCACCAGCAGTTGGGCCTTATGACCCACGCCTTGTGTTTCCTTGGGATTGCTTGCAATGTTTGTGTCGAGCAGGATTTTCTCCAGCATATCAGAAAAGCTGGGGTCAAACATAGTGTCAGCCTCATCTACCACGAAGAAGTTCAGCTCACTCAAATCCAGCCAACGTCTTTGCAGGGCCTTGACCAGAGCGCCTGGAGTGGCCACTAAAATATGCGGATGATCCCCTTTGAAGACCGTCTTGATGTGTCCTACACCTCGCCCACCGCCCACGGTCCTCGTCAGGAAGCCAAACGGAGCACACAGAGTCCTGGACACAGCCGCCACTTGCTCAGCCAGCTCTCTGGAAGGCACGAGAACCACAGCGCGAATCTTGTGTGTGTCCTCAGTGTACATCTCTTCCTGTTTATCAGCCTGCAGTCTGTGAACTATAGGCAGGAGGTAACTCAGTGTTTTTCCACTACCTGTCTCTGCAGCGCAAAGAATGTTGTGACCCCTCAAGACCTTTGGGATGGTCTGCAGCTGTACAATGGTGGGATGGGTAATACTGACACTCTCCAAAGTTTCCACCAGCTCCTTGCATATGTGGAGTTTTTCAAACGTTGCCAATGTTTTCTGTGTATTGTCGTTCTTCTGGTTCTCAGCAACGAAGGGTGCAACAGGCTTAACGTTGTTAACAGTGAAGTAGTCACCGAATGATTTGTTGTGTTTCCATCCCTTCGAGCTGAGAATTGGCTGTTCGAACTTCCCAAGCATGTATCCCACAGACTGGTTCATATTTGGGTTCCTGCTCTGGATGAGAAGCTTCCCAGCTTTGATAGTGTTGATCTTATTTTTGCTTTGAGTCTGCTTCACGTTTTCGATGCGCTTCTGTAGGTAACGAGGAACACGAATAACTACGGTCTCTTCTGGCGTCGCTTCCGAGTGACAAAAGCGAGTCTGACTGACAAAACAGCGAGCAGATACTTTAGCAAGCTCTGAACAATAAAGTCTACTTGAGCCGAGAGCTCTGGATGCAACCAAAGCCAAATAGCCGACCTTCACGGACTGCATTTTGGTGCTTATCAGGCTCGCTATCACCCAAGAGTCAGCTTAGAAAAAACATTAATAAACGACAAAAACATTCGTGTGAAAGCAGTCGACGGCACTGCGAATCTGTAAAAGCCAACTTACAAGTCCAAAAAACAGCGTAAATCAGTTATCATCCTCCACCACTTGACAGGAGACTCGCCATGCTGTCTTGGCGAGTACTGATGATGTCAGCGGGCGGGGAGTGATGACGTGTCGGAACACGTAAACTACATACAAGAATCGCAACATAAATGTCACTGGCCAAGAAAAGTAAAAATCGGGTAGGCTATATACATTTGAATAGTTTGTTATATTCAAAGAAATATTAGAAAATCAGTAAAGAGAGAATGGCCCACCATCTTTTTTTTTTTTTGACAAAAAAGTGAAATATTTGCAACACAATGAAGAATATTTTGTAAATAAAAAAAAAAAAAAAAAAACACATATTTTACATTTGGCTGATAAAATTAGCCAATTATTAAACTACTAATTATTTAATATTGACAAGAATGGAAAACATCGTCTTCTTTTATGATTTAGAGAAGAAATTACAAATGTGACTTCTATTGTTATAGTTTAAAACGGGTTCGTTATGTCAGTGACTCATCAAGTGCAGCTTTAAAGGACAAAGATCTGACACTGTGACCAGTACACAGACAAACTATAAAAGGCCACCTTAAAATGCAGCTTCATTCAAATGACAGGATGCCACAGACGACAAGAGAATGATGAGTAACAGGCTGTTGGCATGCTAGTTATTGGCATGTCAGTTGAATGTCCACAACTCCACCATTTGTTGTTTAAGAAATTGTGTCAAACATCATGGTACGACAGACTCTGCCACATGGTGAACTGGATAGACGTCTGCATAAATGTAGCATTACGTGATCTTGTCCTCCAAAGTGTCTGCCAACCTCACTAAGCCCCGTCAGCAAGAGTGGGACGACATACCACAAGCAGCATCGACAAACTCCTGAGCTCTATGCATGACTGATGTGTGACTCTTTACTGACTTGTGAATTCTGGTCTGCGAGCCCACTCCTGATCTGTACCTTATCATTTCCAATACAGTGCTGTTTTTTTGTTTTGTGATGTCCTTTCTGTTGTAAAGATGCTGTGTATTTAAACGAAGAAATATGCGCCTATGTTAAAAGAAAGGAAAGAGTCTAATAAAATATTACATGCTGCATTTGTTGTTTGTTTTTGTTCAGTACATTCTTGAATGTCACAAATAAAATAGAGTTCATATATGCTGTTGCAAACAACAGACAAATTGATCATTCCTGCACAAGTGTCCTACCTGATCACTGTGTGTTTTTGTCTTGTACATTGTATGCCTGTTCTAATGATAAATCAATCAGCTGATCACTGACCTAGTGAATCAGCACTGCCTGCAGTACAGTAATGTCGGAGGTGGTCATAGATTGGACGAGGGTGAGAAAGAGCACTGTCATTGACACAACAGTAACAGTCAATAGCAGTCCACATGACTTTGAGTTCTGTTCATTCCTCTTCATTAAAGACCAGACCTAAGACATTATGATGCATGTTTGTTATTTGAAAAAAATCGACAGCACCAAAAAAAAAAAACAGACATAGTTTTCATGCGTCTGTCCTGGAGTTCTTAGGGGGATAATCCACTATTGTTGCTTTGCCACCGGTGTGCAAGCTTATAAAAAAGAAAAAAGGAGACTAATCTCTCCAGGCATGCATCCAGAGAGGTGCCAAAGGGGAACACTTGCCTGTTCTGTTTTGCCCGGTCTTTCTCCAGCTGTCTGATGGGAATGTTTTCATACTTTTGAACATACATTTCCTATTACATTGTTTTCTGCAAAGGACAATGGGATTTCAACACACCATGCAAAAAATCAGCTGTCTGCATCAGTGCTGCTGTCACATCTAGCATTGATTGTACATCAGCCACCCTTAACATGTGCTCAATGAATCAGCTCAGTGATTGATTTAGTGTAGCTTCAGAACATCACACACACGTTCAGTTATAGAGTCTCTGTCACATGTTGGACAAACCAAAGCTCTGGCAGCCGGAATCCCAATGAACTTATATGTTGTTTCCCAACAAAAGTAAGAAAAAGCTGGGCTGGGTATGTGCCAAAAACTATAGAACACTACTATACAGCATGTAAACTGTTTTATTTCCCCTCCTTTTTTTTAACGAAATGAGCCTTACCACTGCACATTAAACACTGCATACAAGGTTTAATGTTTAGTTCACGTCTAAAGGGAAACTCAACTGTCTTCACTCGGCAAGTCAATATTCAATTCCACAGACTGAACAAAAGAGGGCAGCATTAAACATCAAGGAAGATTTGAAGTCACCTGAAATCTTAACCAGAGCAATGACAGCAACTGTTTGTATTGATTTTAAGTTAAAATTGTTTTCAAACTGACACATATGATGTAAAACATATATTGTCTTTCTCATTACTTAGTCTGCTACTATTAACTACTCAGCATACTTCCCATCTGTTCTGGCTGCCTTTTATCAGTACTACTTGTCAACCACACACACACGAAAAAGACAGTAAAAGTAAACTACAGATTTTATATTCATAAATTTCAATAATATATAGCTTATGTAACTTTATTTCTGTTTTCCTTTTTACGAACTGCCTCTGTCAGCCTTCAGTTCCTTATCAGCTGACAGTCTGATACAGAACAGCATGAAATTTGATATTCGTTGACATTTAGTGAACATTGCACATGTTGCCATGGTGCTGCAATGCATTTCTGCAGTGTGTGCAAACCCCAATCCTTGAAAGAATGACACCTCTGAATGAGGACTAGTGTGGGGGCAGATGCTGTGTTTTTTTTTTTTTTTCCTTTATAACTTTCTTTACAAGAACATAATATCACAAACCACATCTACAGCCTCCCACACAATTTGTTTTCTTTATCTTCTCCCTTCAAAGGTCATCTGCGAAGATAAGACACACAGGTAACCTGAATTAGACCCGGGTGGGTCTAGAGAAATGATTGCTGCACAGGAGAAAGTCCATGGAAGTCGTGTGACTGCCACAAAACAATATGATGACTTAATAATTTAATTTAATAAGACATATAATACATGTTTCTGTATATAATTCAACTTTAATAAGAAAAAAATTATTTTAAAAGAAATATATATATCTTTATTCAGTAGAAACATTTGAATTAATTCCAAAAAAGTCATTCTCATCCCTTCTCTACACTTTCCTATAGTTTGTAGTGTTCACACAGTACTAAGGTCATTGTAATTGAGTAAGGTAATGCTTATGGTGTTCTCAAGTTTCAATTTTGTGTCAGTTTTAATTTATAAATAAATATAATATGAAAAATAATAAAGTAAAGTAATAAAACAAAGAAACAAAAAAAAAGAAGAAAAAAAGACAGACTCACATTTCAAAGAGACTGTCTATTGTCAGTCATATATTCTTTTACGTTTGTTTGGCTACATCATGTAAGGCTTAGCCAAACCTCTTTGGAGAGTATAATTTATTCTAGATTGGAAATTACATACATGTACAAATGAGTCATATATTCACAAGAACAACATATAAGTGTTTCTTAAAGTGGTCTTCAAAATAGCTGCTGCTCTAAGTATGTTTTTTCAAGTAAATCTGCATTTATTAGAGAAAAATATGTCTGGGCTCTTTGTATGCATTTATGTTTGCAAATCATTTGAATGATATAGAGCATTTTTATGATATTTGTTGTGAATCTGTAGCCTGTGAAGGCAGGATAACCTTACAGTTTAGTAGAGACACCTCTGAAAATGTGCATTCGGAACTTTAACTGTAATCGCGCCAACCAGTGCAGACCTCAGAAGAACAAATGTCTTTTTGGGAGAGAATTGCTTCATCATGTGGCATATAAGTCAAAAGGGGTTAAAGTTTGTGCTTTTGCTTGGAAATAAAGACCACAGGAAATGTGATATTGATGCTTTCAGATGCATTTGTGAGCTGAGCGCTTGTCTGTACGCCCACATGCTTCTAGCATAGGCATATGTAGTGTGTCTGTGTCAGAAAAATAAGAGGGTGTTGTCTGCTGTACATGCAGGAGGATAGAGTGATTACATCAGAATGTGCACTTGCCGACGTGTTTTTTAAATGCAAAAATGATCTTCTGTGTTGTCTTTCTTCTTGCTGCCTGTGTTAACCTTGATTTTTGCACAAATATTATATAAAGCATTGCTTTTGTTATATCATAATCTATGATTTGCAGATTGAATGGCAGCACTAATGCAATAAATAAAAAACTTAAGAAGTTTTACAAGCACGCTTATCAGTGTTGCATACACCTTTGGTAAAACATTAAAAACTTGCTAGACAGAGGCAGGCTTTGTTGATCAGCCCCGAGCACGTAGTTTGTGTGCTTGTCCAAGTGTGCACATGATGGTGACATCAATGAAAGAATTTGAATACGCCTACACGCTGCTAATAATGCAAGTTAATTGCTAGTAAATGTCAAAAGAGTTTGCATTACTAGTTTGGACTTACATCTCTGGCAGGGTGAAAGCAGGAAATAAGTGACACAAAGACAAATGTTGTCAGACAAGAAGATCATCAAAGCAACAACACATTACAGCTTTATAGTTCACCTCTGTGTTGCTTACCCAATAAAGATTAACCTGAGGAGATTGATAGGTTGGATAGAGGCACAGAGGTTAAAAGGCAGTGGAAAAGAACATAGAGTATAGTGACGGATTTACCATTGCTTTATTCTAGCCACAGATTTGCTTTGGTAGGAAATACTTAGAACGGCAGTGTGATTTAAATAAACAAACAAAGAAAGGTACCATTTAGAGCAGGAATATGTATTCTGAGTACTAAATATGCACAAGAAGCATAGGCAAGGAGTGCATATTTGTCTTTGATTGGCAGGCATGCCAATGCATGCCAATCTTTTTAACCATTATTGCACCTATGGTTGAAATTTTAGACACTCAGTCACACTAAATGCCAAGCACTGAGCAAAGTCACCATTTGAGCAGCCAATAAATGGGAGAATCAATCCTCTCAGCCCTTAGATGAAGGGATAAAAGCAGCAAATGAAAGCAGGTTAAAACCCTGTGATCCAGAAACACAAAAAGCATTATATTTTTCAATGATGCTGAGCAAGAGATGCCATTTAGGCAGCACCATCTCCAACTACCTAAATGAGCTGCGGAGCCATGATCAAGATGTCCGCTCTTCCCTTGCCTATACAGGGTAGCCCATTCACAATCCTAAATGAGGCTGATTAGAAATTAATGAGCCTCTGTCTGCGCTGACAGGCTCCGGGGATCTAAAGGTAAAAAGTGCAGCATGTCATTATACTTACCAATCCCGGCTTGGATTAGAATCACACAAAGAGGTTGGATTGAGGGCCAGGTGCAATCGGATGTAATCTAATGGTGGGTGGACGGAAGAGAATGGAGGAGCAATTAAATGGAGCAAAGTGGTTGTAGTTGCTGCAAGGTCATTCAAATATTTGTGTGTTTTGGTTTGCAAAAATAGGTGTGGAATACACAACCATGAGACAATCAAAGATAGTATTAGATATGTATGAATTTTTAGTTAAATGTATTAGATATGTATCATGTGTGCTTGTTTTTTCCAGGCACCGAAATGTCTCTATGGTTTTAAAAAAAGACCTTTCTAAAATTTTAGCCTCTTAAACTGTTTAATAACTTCATGGATATGTGTGTGTGTGTGTGAGTGAGTGTGTATGTGTGTGTATGCGCGCGCGTGCCCCGTGTTGTGTTGTGTCTGCTGACGTCACCACTGGAACTGCCTTGTCACGCGGGGTTAGTAAAAGTTGGGATCGGAGCTCCGGAGAGAGAGACACCGACGGCAGGAGAGAGAGAGAGAGAGAGAGAGAGAGAGCGAGCGAGCGAGGGAACGGGATAATTATACGGACACTTCGTCGGCTTTATAGCGACCATTAAACACAGAGAAACACTTGTTTGTTGTGGAGGATAAACCGGGAGTCGGAGAGAAACAGTGAGACCGGGAGAGGACAGAGGGGGCAGCCGACTTTCTCTGAAGTTGAAGCCACAATTTCGCTCGTTTGAAGGAGCCCAGCGACCCGTTGTTGTTGTTGTTATTATCATTTTTACTTTGGATTTCTCTAACGAAAGAGGGGGGAAAACGCGGGCACGAATGAAATGAGCAAAAGTTGAAGTTTGACGGCAGACGGTAAATGTTGTGACATTTTAGGACGGCGTAATTTCGCTCCAGCGGTCGACGGTCGAGTGGCGGGGTAAAACCCGAGCTGTCAAACCCGATGACTACTGCAAACTGCCCCGGGAATGAGGAGCTGGACTTCAGACTGATCTTCGGAGAGGACGGGCAGCAGCAGCCGTTAGGCCCCGCAGGTCGGTGTTTCACCGTTTAATACTCCATGTACCGGTGGGAAACTTAGGGGGGAAAATGTGCTTTAACGTAACTTACACGTCTGCCACTGCTGCCGTACTTCGCCCGGCAACTTTCGGCTTCAGCCTCAACCCGTGGTTTCTAGAAAATAACCCTAACTACTGTTTATTTAGCTTAATACAAATATCCAAATATTACACGTCTCTTCTTTCGTAGTCGTCAAGCTAATGTCCACACGACCAGCTGTCATTAGCTTCATATGCTAACTTAGCAGGTTAGCACAACTGCTGTCATTGCCGTTTGTTAATTTAATAGCCAAAGTTATAAACTCGTAAATGTCTCCTAAATTTCAGTTTTGCAACAGACAGCCTTTCAACTTTTAACCTGACCGGCGTTAAAGTCTGACGAGGCTGTCTGCAGTCAATGTTTCAGTTTGGTTGATATGCTTTTAAGTGTAAGTATGGCTGAGAGAGAGGGAACAGCTTGAATGTCACTGAGGCACATTTCTGCAAAGTAGCACATGCTAATGTTGACAGAACTTTTATTCACTCAGTGTTTACAAAATAAGTCAAAGGAAGGGCAGGCGTGCTGTTGGCACATTTTAACAAAACAAAATGTGATTGTATTACTAAACTACAAACACTGCTGCAGGTATTTGTCACTTATTTTCAAGTTTAAGCAAATACTTTGTGTCTAGTTCGTGTGAGATATTAGTTGATGTTTGTAAATGGAAAGATGTGATGTCAGAGCTGAGTTACAGTTATGTGTAGCTACAAAGAGAAAGAACAAGTTCCAGGTAGACTGTTTAAGTTTAGCTATATTACTTAAATTGAATATATAAAAAATGTAATTTTACAAAAAACAATGAACTATATTAGTGGAAAAAAATACAATTACAATGATATCTTTTATATTTTATTTTCAGTGTGGGTGTCACCACAGTGGATCCAAACTTTACCCTGATCGATACATGAGAGGACATGCAGGCATTGAAATTAATTCCAGAAAAAAAATATTTGGCTCTTTTATCAGCCATGTAGGCTATTTATGTTTTCCTATTTGGCACAAAAGAGACATACTTGGCCCTGAGAGTTAAGTGTTTTAGAATAAGATCAAACTAATACACGCAAATTTTAATCTGTTGAACTTTGTCAACTCTTTCACTAGATTAACAGGTTGCAAGAGGAAGCTTCAAAGTTTATTATTTATTTGCTTTTTTTTAATGCACTAGCTCTGGTCATTTATAATATAGTTTGTCATAGATATGATTGGTTATGCACTGTGGCTGCTCAATGGAAGACTCGCTTAATGTGCTAAATGTCACAAATGTTAGAGACATAAATAAAAGAAGAAAATGTTTAACTGTCAGGTAGTCATTTTTAAAATACTTTATACTCTTAGTATTGAAGGAGATTGACTTAGTGACATACAACATAAATTAGTGATATCAGGACATGTTGTGCTTTTTTTAAATGCAGTTCATACATACATGGTGAGTTTCACAAAGAGCTAAAACAGGATACTATAAGTTATATGTGTCTGTGACAATACCAAGACTTTAAAATAACCTCAGTGGATCTGTGTTCTCGAATGTATACCATGCTCAATGAAATGCTTTGGGTTTGAATCTAAACAAAGACCTTTGTGGTGTGACGCTGCCCCTGGTCTCTTCATCAGGCTCAACTTTCCTACGTAGGTGAGAAAGCCTAACGAAAGTGACAGATTTCTAAGGACTGCGTTTGTCTTTTATACTTCTATACTCTATCTTGGAGACCAGTGTCACGTAAAGAAAAAGTGAAGTAAACAACTTTTGCAACGGGTTTAGTCAATAATTATTTACAAATGATCATAGCTGTATAACAATAGAAACAAAGTAAGGGGTTAGCAGTGCTTAACTGTCAAGGATTGGCTCAGAAATGAATGATGTCTCTTTGAAAGGACAGAATTTTTAGATGAAGAAGAGACTTTGGTTATGCTGGCATAATATGCTATTTGGTAGATCCATCACCAAAGACACCACATTTTTCAGACAGAATACCAAGGAAAATGATGCAAAAAATAAAGATTTTTTTTTCAACTGATGACATGTTGCAGTCATACAAATGATTTGAATAATCCATTACTTTAAGTTTGTTCCACACTACAGCAGATAGATACCAAAATAAATGTCTAATCGTTATTTACAGTGTTACAATACTTTATTTATTTAGGTTCAGTAATTTAGTTATTGTCTAAAACTAATGCTTGCAGTTCACAATGGAAAATTCTGTTTGTATGTGCTGTCCATGGATGCATGATAAGCGTAGTCGTGCACAATGTGCTGAAAAGTGTGGTACACATGTCGGTTCTGAAATCAGAATTATACCATATATACTGATCATGCAGTTGAGTTACATGATTTAGGGAAAAAGTGTAATTACGATTCTTTCTGACAGATGCTGTGATTGCAGTCTGATTTCTGATATAATATTTCAAATTCAAGCTTTAATTAAATATTAACCGTGTATAAAATTGATTTAAAACACAAGATGCAGTATTACTGCACGAGATACCATCAAAAGTGTGAATGTCACATAAAGAGGATGTACAAATGTCTAAAACCATGAACAGAACAGTTTGGGTCAGATACGCATAACATATATCTTAAATTGCAACTTTTTCCTTCTGTTAATTGCATTGTTTTAAATCATGGTGTGAAATCCATTAATTGCCCAGCTTTAATATGTAGATAATGAAATTGTTATTTTGTGTTGATAAGTGTGTGTCTTCATTTTGATTGATTCAACAGGTTGTGTTAAACCCTAATATGTAGCCAAAAGCAAAAGTTATTATCAATTGATTTCAATTATTAGATTTGGATTTTGATATTTACTTGTTGTTGCCTGGGGCAACAGAATACCAGAAGTCAAGGATTGGCCTGCCATAGAAAAAAGGCAAGAAGAGAGAAGTAGATGTTTGCCAATGTTGAACAGAAATAAGTGCTAATTTGCTGATTTATTTAATGATTGCAGACACTTGAAAAGCGTGAAATAATAATAAATCAGGACAAACACTCATTTGCAGGCAAACAGATTTCCCTGATGGATGCTGGACTCAGATGGTGATGTCGTGAAACAAAAATATTGAGTGGCTGAAGTGGCTGTGGAAAATGAGTCTTCTGGTAAAAATCTACCAGAAAAAAATTGCACCCTTACTTGTGTGATGATAGAAGGTGTTGCTTTTTGGAGTTTGAGGAATTTTTAAATATAGTTTGAAACTGGGTATGTACTGTATATGTACACACCATACATTGTTCATGGCCTAAGCAGCATCATAAAGGTCAGGAGCTGGTTTTAAATCCACAGATTTATGAATTTGTGGTGTTTATGTTGGTCTGTAAATCCATTATAACTTGAGCCTCTTCATTGGTTTTGTCTTTGGGCCGAGACCACAGGGACCAGTGAACTCTGCAGCTGTGTCCTTTTCTTGAAACTTGGGTAAAGTAATGACTCCATGAAGGTTTGGCTTGTGCAATCTTAAATCAAATTTTCCTTTGATTAAAAAAAAGGGTTTGATTTGGAGATGGAGCGAGGGGAAAAACTGCCTCTGGAATAAGCGTAGGAATAAGAGTAGGAATAAAAGCAGCACTGTGCAAGTGGTTTTAATCTGGTCTGGACTGTATGACTTGGCCCAAAAGGGGGGTTGGGGGGGCGGCTGTCCAAATTAATAACTGGAGTGTAATACAGGATCACTCAGCCACAGTAACAGGGAATTGCATACTCCTGAGTCGGTCTCCTCCTCTGATGGGGAGGCTCAAGTCAGGGCTTGTTTTTTGTAGCACACTTGGAAATCCTATATCTGAATATTTGAGGTCTGTACTTCTCTGACTCTCTTCTTGTTACATGTTGCTTGAACTGGGCTGTTCCCAGTTCAATGTTTTTGCAGGCAATTGGACTTTTAATTAAAGTTTTGTAAAAAGCAAAGGTAATGTCTTCCAACATAAAAATGTAGCAATAGTGTAGTAATTGTCTAGATCTCATTTTGCAGCTGCACAAAACCTCCATACTGAAGATACTCATGTTTATGACAAGTCTCGTCTACATGTGCGTTTTAAATGTTTCCTCTTCATCTGATTCTTTATTGGAGATGACTCGTAAGTGCTGACTTCCTGTACACTTTACTCTCAGCTCAATTGCTGGTTAGCTTGCTGTCTTTGTACTTGCATATGTGAATGTGAAGAAAAATCTGTGTAATGGTGTGGTACAGTATACCACACCTCTCTCGCTGTCTTTTTTTGTTCTGCTGTTCTTTGTCTGCTTGTATGTGTGTCTGTCTCCTGCGCTGTGTTTTCTTGTTGCTCAGGAAACACTCACCTCTTTGAGGTGAAATATTCCACTGTTCTTTTCAGAGGCATTGGACGAAGTTACTGTAAGGGTTTTCCCCTGATTAGTACAGCTGAATAAGAGAACAAGTGACTGTGAAGCAGCTTAACTAGAAAGTGAGATAAAGTCATTCAAAATTAATTGGAAAAAAAAAATTGCTGTGGCATTTGCAGCAGAATTGCTGTAAAATCTGAACTAAATAAAGACCATACTAATGGATAAAATAATCATAAATCTGTTTAAAATATTTAAAGCCTCATCCAGGTGTAACCCAATGGTTGAATGGTTAGGGCGTGTACCACATAGGCTAAAATGTCATTACCTGATGAGGCCCCTGTTCAACTCCTTGCTGGCTGGGCTTTAGTGCATGTCATTCCTCTGATCTCTCTACATATATATTTCTATATAAATAAAGCCCTCCATATATGCTTTAAGCATCTCTTCTTCATTCCTCTGTTTTCTTTGTGAAGGAAATTAACTAAAAAAGTACTCACTAGGTGTGGGCATCTCCGATCTGAATCACAATTCTTCTCACGCATTCAGTTGTACTCATTTGATGTCACTTTAACTCAAGGCTGAAGGCACAATTCGTTAATCCTGCACCCTGCTTGTATCCTGTTCTTACAGATTTTTCTTTTTCG